GTTTTCACTGATGATATGGAGCTTTTCCATCTTCTCTTTCCACAGATGTAGTCAATTTGATTTCTATGTATTCCATCTGGCGAGGTCCATGTGTACAGTCATCTGTTATGCTATCTAAAGAAGGTATTTGAAATAAACAAAATGCTTACCTGTGCTTTATTGACTACACAAAGGCTTTTGACTGAGTGGATCATGACAAGTTATGGACAACATTATGGAGGATGTGTATTCCGCAACTCTTAATTGTGCTCACGAGAAACCTGTACATAGGACCAAGAGGCCATCATTCGAACAGAACACGGGGATACTGAATGGTTTAAATTGGAAAAAAATGTGTGCCAGGGTTGTATTCTTTTTATTTATTAATTTGTACACTGAGGAAATATCTGAGAAGCTGGATTATATGAAAAATCAGGATTCGAGGAAGACTCTTCAACAACCTGCGCAATGCAGGTGATATAACCTTGCTTGCTGAAAGTGAAGAGGACTTAAAATATTTACTGATAAAGATCAAAGAGCACAGCCTTCAGTTTGGGTTGCACCTCAGTGTAAAGAAGACAACAATTCTCACCACTGAACACAATAAATAGCATCAGGATAAATGGAGAAAAGACTGAAGTTGTCAAAGACTCCATTTTGCTAGGATCAGTAGTCATGGAAACAGCAGTCAAGAAATCAAATGATTTATGGTGTTGGAAACTATTGAAAGTACTCTGAACTGCCGAAAGAACAAACAAATCTGCGTTGAAAGTACAGCTAGAATGCTCCTTGGAAGCCAAGATGGCCAGACTTCATCTCTCTCATACTTCTACCAGATTATCAGGAGGGACCGGTCCCTGGAGAAGGATACCATGCTTGGTAAAGTGGACGGATGGAGAAAAAGGAAGACCCCCCAAGGAGATGGATTGGCAAGTGGCAGCAGCAGGACCGGGCAGTGTTTCATTCTGTGAGTCTGTGCTGACTCGATGGCACCTAACACCACTAACAAAAAGGGCACAATGATTCCTTAGTTGGGAGAGATAACCCTCTCCTCGAGTGTTTTCAGGGCCAACACCCCTTAAGATCTGCCTAGGTGGGAGAAGCCTGTGCCTGCCCAGTTGTTGCAGGAATCCAGTTGTACTACTGCTCCGGGTGCGTGGAACCTCCATGTTGCTGACAGGGACACTGGCTTGGGGCAGGCAGCTCCCATTGTGCAGGAAGAGGCCGGGGAGGCAGGCACGGGGGACAGAGGGGCACGAAAACTGGTGCACTCCACCCCAGGGCTCTGGGCCATGCCCAGCTGAAGGCATGGGCCACCCTTCTGGCGGCATTGTTCCTTTGAGCGGAACAACATGTTCCTGGGGCACTGAGCTAGTGGAATCGATGAATGGGCCTCAGGGTTGGGAGTGAAGGTACTGAGAAGGGGGCTGCACAGGCAGAGGGCTGGATAAAGGTGAGATGAGGGTGGAAGGTGGGGTGAGGTGAGGGTTCAAGGGTCCAGATGCCACAGTGCACAGCATGGCACAGTTGGCATGGGGGGGGGTGTGCAGTGGTACTGCTACCTATGTGTCGCAGTCCATGGACTGGCTGTGGGCTCCTTGGCACTCAGAGTCCCTGGGGACCAGACCAGAGCAGCTGCATGCCTCCATCACAGGTGACTAAGCAAGTGGACCAAGGAGTCCAGGGGCCCCAGACACTTTGCACTGACAGGAATGGGGCAGGACAAAGAGCCATGAGGTCTGTGGGCCCAGAGCAAGGGTCTTAGCTGGATCATCAAACCCCTAGGATGGTCCCAAACATTCCTTTAGGTAGCCCATTAACCTGAGCTGGCCATCTGGGGAACCGCTTGGGGAGGGTAGTTTAAGGCCAACAGTCAGGTCCACTCTAGCCACATATGTTTACAACGGCCCCTGGGGTCCACTCTCCTTCTCCCCTCTCCCATCCTCGCCTGTGGCTGCACGACTGGACAGAGACATACCTGAGCACACAGGGGGCTTCAGGGCTCCTCCTGGGCAGGATACGGGCCTGGGGCCAGGGCAGACCCGGGACTGGTTTCGCCATCCAGGGCCACCCCCAGGGGTAAGGCAGCTCCAGCTACCGGGAGACCAGGCTATCCAGGGAGTCCAGCCCTGCACTTCTGGGGAGCAGGGATGGGAGCTGAGAGTGTTGGGGACCCAAAGATCATGAGGTCCCATCTGAGAAGCCATGGGGGTCTGGCTAGTGAGGACAGAGCGCTCAGCACTCACGGCAGCTCTACTCCCACTGGGCTTGCTGAGATCCCTGCCCCTGCCCCTGCTGTCTCCACGTGGACATGCCCACCACCCCTCCTCATGTCCAGACCCTTCCAGACACCATCCTCCAGCATTATGGGCACTCCTTCGGTGGATTCTTAAATCTTCCCCATCCCCCCCGTTAGTACCTGCTTTCCTCTCCCCACCTCTCCAGGTGATAAGAAGACCCCCACCTGGGCCAGGCCTCCACCCTCCACTGAGGCCAGTTCCAGGTCAGCATCTCCAGACTGAAGAGGTCACCCTGACCAGCCCGTCCCCAAAGGGCCAATCAATCAATGGGGTCCAGTGTCACTGGGCTCCTGATGCTGGACTGAAGAAGATGGAGAGGAAAGAGTAGAAGTGGTCGCCCCTACACCCCCCATTCCCACCTGCCACTCCAGTCACCCTCCCTGGCTCTATGGCTGTACCTGTACCGCAGCCCGTGTGGCAAGCCTTCAGTTCCTGCCTGGCCCCTTCATATAGGGTGCTCCTAGGAGCAGCTGGAGGTTTGGAGGGAGACCTGGGGAGAGGCAGCATGGGAAACCTCACCCCTGTCTCCTCTGTCCCTCCATGCTCCAGACACCCCTGCCCCCTCAGATCTGTGCACTTGGCTGTACTCCCCCTTGTCCCCACCAATCTCCCATTGTTTACTTCCCAGTCCCCAACCTCTCTCCCTCTCTGTCCTCCACCCACCCACACACCTGAACCTGGCCCTCATTCCGGGGCCACAAGAGGGGTCACAAGGACCCCAGGGGGACCAAGGGGACCAGCCACAGGGCACAGGACTGTCCTGGGATTCACATCGGAGAGCCCCCTCCTCACAGATGCTGCGGGTGGGGCAGAGGATGAGGTCAGCTGGGGGTGGAGACCATAGCAGGCCTTACCTGGAACTCCAGAACTGCCCAGTCCTCCGCAGCCTGGCTCCGCTGTGGGTGTGTGGGTGGGCAGAGTGTGTGCTGGGAATTGAACGCAGAAGAGATGTGGGTGTTGGCAGGTGTGGGTGCGTGAGGCGCACAGGGATGTACCCTCACCACTGGCTGCAGTTGTCCAGCAGAAAGGGCTCGCCGGGGCTTTCAACGGCTCCCCCCGTGAGGCAGGGGCACTGAGAGAGGGGCTGGCGGCTAGCATGCAGGAGCAGCCTGGGTGGGCAGCGGCATCCTGGGGGTGGGTGGCACTCAGCCTCAAGTGAAGAGGGGAGGTGGGCACAAAACCCAGTAGCTCCCTGAGGGGCTTTGTCTGGGGGGCATTACTGGTGGGTCAGCCTCACCCTCCAGACAGTGCCCGATGCAATTTCTGTCGGTCTTGGGGTCCAGGCAGGTGAGTGGGCACCAGGCCACCAAGCCCTTCTGGCACAGCCCAGCATCCACATCCACACGGCCCAGCCCACAGTCTTCTTCCTCAGAGGTCTGCCCCAGCCCAGGCCCAGTTCCTTACTGGTGCTACCTCCACAGGGCTGCAAGCTGCAGTGTGCCCTCTTCTGGGAGACCCCCGGGCAGGGGCACCACTGTTCTTGGGTGGGGGGTCCTCACAGCTCCTTCTGTGACTCCGATGGCCCACAGGAAACCCTCCAGGCCCCCCGGCCTCCCACACAGTCCATGCTTCAGCCACTGCAGGGAAAGAAGATGCCGAGAGGTAAGATGGGCTCCAGGTGGAGACAGGAAACAGAACTTCTCAGAAAGAGTCAGCAGGTGAGCAGCCAGAAAGGCTCCTGTCCCCTGGTCCTGGCTACACTGCACCAGCAAGGCGGTGCTCAGGGGAACGTCAGCAACCTTTGTCCCAGGACACCTCCTATATATGGCGTGTGTCCAAGAGATACCTCTAGGTCCCTTGTTGTTGTTAAGTGCTGTCACGTCGATTCTGACCCATAGCGACCCTGTATAGGGTTTCCAAGGAGCAGCTGGTGAGCTTGAACCAGCGACCTTGCAGTTCAAGGTCAGTGGTTCAAGCTCTAGGGCCCACAGAGAGCAGCCACACACCCAAAGTGGCCCACCCTCCTTGGATTCTTGGAGTGCCTTCTGGAGTACATCACTATCATTCCTGGGTTTCAGAAGAGGGATGGGCTGGAATTCCTGATGGCCTTTGCTAGCCTCCTGAAATCCTGGGGTCCCCAAGGGAGGTGGTGCAGAAGCCTGTCCCTGCAGAGGGCTGGCAGTAGGCTCACCTGGGTAGGCCTGAAGGAAGCAGGACCGACTGTGGTCATGATCCAGTGGGCAGCTGTCCCCAGGCAAGGGGGGCCGCAGCAGCTGCCAGCGCTGGACAACGAGGCCTGGCCCATAGCTGTGGCTGCAGTGAGTCCAGCCAGACCAGGGTGCCAGCATACAGTCCACTGCAGGGCAGGATGACATAGGGCAGGAGTTGGGTGGCTTGGGGCTGGGGCAGCACACAGTCCACTGCAGGGCAGGACGACACAGGGCAGGAGTTGGGTGGCTTGGGGGCTGGGGCAGCCAGTGGCAGGCAGGCGCAGGGGTCTGTGGGTACCACAGTCATGCTCATTGGAGCCATCCTGGCAGTTGGGCAGGTCACAATGCCGAGGATCAGAAAGGCATTCCCCACTGCCATAGTGCAGCTGTCATGGGGAGCAGGTGGCCGGAAGTCCATGCAGAGTCATTGTGGGCACCAGCAAGGGCACAGAGCTCACTGCATGGGAGAAGGAGTTGGTTATTCCTGACTGGGGGTGGGGGGGCAGATGGGCCTCTCCACCCCAGGCTCAGAGGATGGATCGAGGTGAATGGAGGCCTAACCTCCATGCTGTGATGCCCAGTGTTGTCCAGCTTCCTTCTGCCTAATGCAGAGACCACGGCTCTTTTGGCCTTCACAGTCCCTTTATCCAGCCTCTACTGGCCAAAGACCCTTGGGGTGTCCAGAGAGACTTGGGTGGACATAAGAGAGTTGACCTCTCTGTGCACTGGCCCCTCTTGTGATTTCTCCTGACTGGAAGACGTTATGCAATGACCTTGGGAACAAAATTTTACTGAATGGATGGATGGTTGAATGGACATATAGATTAATGGTGGATGGATGGATGAATGAATGAACAGCTGCATTGTGGATAGGCAGACTGATACACAAATTAATGAGTGAATGGATAAATGGATGATGGATAAACAGATGAATAGACAAATTAATGGTTACATGACTAATAGATGGACTGATGGACAGATTAATGGATGGGTGGAGGAAAAGACTGAATGGGTGGATGGGCAAACAGGTAGGCAGATGGCCTATAGCATGTCCTCTTCACCATCCCCCAAATACACACCTCGGTCATTTTCACAGGACTTTCTATCTGCTACCTGCCATCTGAGACCTCTCCAGGCTGTCCCATGGGGTTCCCCAAGTCTAAGGCTCTCTGGCACCACAGCATGTGACAGATGCCCACTTTGTTAACCACAGTGCTACTCGTTAGAGCAGTCCAGGCTCCATACAGCCCAGCACCGCAATGCGGGACGGGGAAGGGCCTCGGTTGCACACTGGGGCCTGCAGGCACCTGAAAGGTCAGCAGTACCCCTCTTACCCCACCTGGGACCTGTCCTGGGCCATGGACTGGAGCTGACCAACACCCTTCTAGGGGTCTGACTCTGCTCTGTAAGGGAGCCCTGGGACACCTCTGGTCTATAAGAAGACCGTTGGGGTCAGGGTTGGAATCAAATAGGCTGTATAGGCACAAGGCTGGGATATCCTACTAGTGGGGACCACTCTGCCAATCTCGTGGTGGGAGAGCCCCATCACAGCTGCCGTTTCTGGTTGAAGCATCCTAAACTCGGGCTGTAATGGCGGGGGGTG